AATCTCAACGTGATCACTTTGGAGCAGAGGCCACCGCCGCCTGCGGCAGCGCCCCCTGCCGACGACGCGCTCTCTGCACCTCCCAACCAAGATCAAGTGTGTTTGCAACAGGGGAGGGAAAAAAAAAATTAGCTCTGCTTTTATCTGAAAAGTACTTCAGAAAGGAAAGTTCCTTTGTATTTTTACTTTTTTTTCGATTTGTATTTGTGTACATATTGGTAGGGAGCATCCATTTTTAATGATCTTGGGACGAAAAACCAGCCTGCAGGGTGTTCTCTGTATGCTTCTGACTGTACTTGTGTTGTGACCATGTTCATTTACATTTCAGAGGAGAAAAAAAAACTGTAAAAGAGCAAAATCAACAACAACAGAAAATCTTGCATCTAGCGTTCCTCTTTTTTTTGTTTGTTTGTACTTAGCTGTACAGTAAGTTTTTGGTTTGTTTGGTAGAATGGGCTAAGCATCTGCTTGTGGTGCCAGAATCTCATCTGCACGCCAGGTTCGAGTCCCACATACCCCTCTTCTAAGCCAGTTCTCTGCTACAGCCTGGTAAAGCATTAGAAAGGGGCCCCAAAGCTCAGACCCTTGCACCTGCATGGGAGAGATGGGAGAAACTCCTGGCACTCAGCTACAGCTGTTTAGGCCATTTCCAGAGGAACCAGCAGAATGAAGACCTTTCTCTCTGTCTCTCCCTCTGTAACTCTCTCTCGCAAAAAAAAAAAAAAATTCCCCCACCATAAGCCAAAGGATTGTTCTTTTTTTCTTTTTTTTTTCATGAAGTTTCTGTTTACTTTTTGCTTTTGGTGTTTCATGGACTTGTGAAACATGTTATCCAACAAGAAACCAGAATTTTAGTTTGCTGAGTTGTTCTAAAAAAAGGATAAGACTTGTAGATTACAATATGGGTAGAGGAGGACACTTATCCAGTGTTGCTGGAATATGTGTTACTACATCCATTATGGAAAAAAATGGAGAGGTTTTATCCAAACTAAAAATTTATCTTTCCTCAGAAGATTATAACAAATAATTATCAAATGAATAAAGAAATTTTAAATTAAAACTGCTGTAGATCCTGCAATCCCTATCCTGGGTATAAATCCAAATGAATGAAATCTCTGTGTAGAGAGAGAAGGCGCCCATGAATAATTGTACACCAATGCTGACTCGTAGTGCCAATGTATGGAAACAGTGTAAGTACCCATCGGCAGACAGATGAGTATGTGCTCTCCATGTGAAATATTATATTTCTTGGTTGCTATGTGGGCATGAGGCTTCCTCATAAGTTTATGGAAAAACAAGATTTACACAAATTAATTTCATATATGGAATTTCATTTATTTATTTAATTTATGGACACATAGGATGGTGAGAAAGAGAGAGAGAGACAGAGGGGGAGAGAGAGAGAGAGAGAGAGAGAGAGAGAGAAATGAGAGAAAGAGAGAATTTTCCATATGCTGGTTTCCCTCCCAAATGGCTGAATGGCTGGAGCTTGTCAAAACAAAAGTCAGGAGCCTGGAATTCCATGGAGGGTGATTACATGAGTAATACAGGTACATGAACTTGGATCATCATCTGATGCTTTGTCAGGCCCAGTATAAGGGAGCTGAATCAGAAGCAGAGCAGCCAGAACTTGAATGCACATCCCTTTACTCAATGATGCTGTTCCAAAATGGGGATTAAATCACAATGCCGCAATGTGGCCTGCCCTGTTACAATTTTTGAATCTATGCAGATATTTTGCATAATGCATGTGTTCCACAGATCCATTTTAACTCAAATTAATGAACTAATTTAGAGATGGGGGAGAGAGAGTGAAGGAGAGGGAGATCAAGAGATGCACACAGAGACAGAGGGACAGAGAGCTCATATCTGCTGGTTCATTGTCAAAAACCTCTTTAGTTAGAGTTAGGACACTGACTCCAGGAGCTGAAATTTCAATCTAGGTTTCTCTTGAGAGTGGCAGTGTTTCAACTACCTGAGTGTTCATTTCTTTGAAGAATTATTTATTTTATTTGAAAGGCAGAGTTATAGAGAGACAAAGGCAGAAACAGAGAGAGAGAGACAGAGAGAGAAAGAGAATGGCCACAGCTTGGCTGCTCCAAAGCCAGGAGACAGGGGCTTCTTCTGGGTCTCCCATGAGGGTTCAGAGGCCCAAGTCCTTGGGCCATCCTCTGCTACTTTCCCAGGTGAACAAGCAGGGAGCTGGTTCAGAAGTGGAGCAGCTGGGACTCAGGCAGTGGCTATACCTGCTATGCCACTGTGCTGAAATGTAGTTGACACTTTTGTATCCCAGGACAGGCATCAGCAGGAAGTTATAATCAGGGGTCTGATTTGACTAGAAACCAGGCACCCTGAAATAAGCTGCAGGTTTCTAATCTCCTTGTTTAACTTTTAAGTGAGATATAAGCCCCATAAAGGCTTTGAAGTTCCATTGATTTTACAGATACACACGCTAGAAGGACACAGTAGGAAGTCACAGACCAATAAGGTGAGATCATGGCCCAGGTTTCCTCCTCAGCCATACTGTGGGTGCTGAACACCACTGCAGAGCATCATGGGCTCCCAGGGTGACTGGGGAGAGCAAGTGTGTGGTTATCTACCCATCTTATCCAGGTGGACATTCTGCTGCCCAGGTGTCCAGGAATTAATGACTGAGAAGGTTTTTTATTTTTTTTATTTAAAAAAATTTTTTTTTTGACTGGCGGAGTGGACAGTGAGAGAGAGAGACAGAAAGAAAGGTCTTCCTTTGCCATTGGTTCACCCTCCAATAGCCGCCGCGGCCGGCACGCTGCAGCCGGTGCACCGCGCTGATCCGATGGCAGGAGCCAGGTACCTATCCTGTTCTCCATGGGGTGTAGGTCCCAAGCACTTGGGCCATCCTCCACTGCACTCCCTGGCCACAGCAGAGAGCTGGCCTGGAAGAGGGGCAACCGGGACAGAATCCGGCACCCTGACCGGGGCTAGAACCCGGTGTGCTGGCGCCACAAGATGGAGGATTAGCCTAGTGAGCCGCGGACCCGGCCGACAAGGTTTTATTTTTGTTCATCATGGATTTCTTTAATATTTACAAGTCAGAGTTACACAGAGAGAGGAAAGGCAGAGAGAGAGAGAGAGGCCTTCCATCGAATAGTTTATGCCTCAATTGTCCTTAAGGGCTGGAGCTGGGCCTATTGGAATCCATAGGTCAGGAGATTCTTCTGGGTCTCCCACGAGGGTACAGGGGACCAAGAACTTGTGCCATCTTCTGCTGCTTTCCCAGGTCACAGCATAGAGCTGGATAAGAATTGGAGCATCCAGGTCTCGAACCAGCACCCAAATGGGATGCTGGACCTTCAGGCCAGGTGTTAACCTGCTGAGCCACAGTGCCAGGCCTGCACTGATTAGGTTTTTTTATTTTTATTTTTGACAGGCAGAGTTAGACAGTGAGAGACAGAGAGAGCCAGAAAGTTCTTCCTTTTCCATTGGTTCACCCCCCAAATGGCCACTATGCCAGCGTGCTGGGGTCAGACCTTGAGCTGATCCAGAGCAAGGAGCTTCCTCCTGGTCTCCCATGTAGGTGCAGGGACCCGGGGCTTGGGCCATCCTCCACTGCCTTCCCAGTCCACAGCAGAGTGCTGGACTGGAAGAGGAGCAACCGGGACAGAATCCAGAGCCCCAACTTGGACTAGAATCTGGGGTGCTGGTACCACAGGCTGAGGATTAGCAAAGTGAGCCAGGGCTCCAGCCCTAATTCGGTTTTAAAAAACACCTTCAGGTGGTGACTGATGAGATTGTAACCAGACATTGTAACCTGATGAGTGAATGTGCTATCCACAAGAAATGTTATATTTCCAGGAGTAAGAAGATTCTTCTGGGGCTCCCACATGGGTGCAGGGGTCCAAGAGCTTGGGCCATTTACTAATGCTTTCCCAGTCACAGCAGAGAGCTTGAAAAGTATTGGAGCAGCCAAGTCTGGAACCAGCACGCATGTGGGATGCTGGTGCTTCAGGCCAGGGTGTTAACCTCCCTAGCCACAGTGCCAGGCCTAGACTGATAAGGTATGAAACAAACACCTTCAGGCAGTGACTGATGAGTTTGTACAGACACCCTCAGGTGATCTTACTTAATCTAATTTGGCACAATGGAATGCCTTTTTTCACATCTCACATACCTTTGAATATTAACATTTATGTTGTGAACCTGACACAATTGATTATTTTGATATTGTCATTGCTGAATGGCTAGAACTTCTTGGTTGTTTCTATAAAATTGAAATCCTATGGATTATTCTCTTCATATGGAAAACATTTCCTTTTATCTCTTTCTTTCTTTTACTGATTTCTTTACTCATTTGAAAGGCAAACTTACGTGGAGGCAGAGGCAGAGAGAGAAAGTTCTTCCATCTGATGGTGCACTCCCCATATGGCTACAATGGCAGGAGCTGAGCCAATCCGAAGCCAGGAGCCAGGAGCCTCCTCCTGGTCTCCCACTTGGGTGCAGGGGCCCAAGGACCTGGGCCATCCTCCACTTCTCTGCCAGACCACAGCAGAGAGCTGGATAGGAAGTGGAGTAGCTGGGACAGGAACCGGCATCCATATGGCATGCCAGCACTTCAGGTGGCAGCTTTACCGGCTATGCCACAGCACCGGATCCAAGTGGAAAACTGTTCTAGAAATGTCAACATGCAGCTTATTTGATTCTGCAGCTGGAAATCTAGGCAGGGTCTTATTGACACATTTGGGTGGTAATTGGGCTGGAAGAGATGGGGTCCAGTCCCCTGCCTTTTGTCCCAGTGTCCTCTCACACTGTATTTCTGCATTGGACACTAAAAACGGACCTTACATCCGTGTCACACCACCCCCACAGGTGAAAACTGATGCTTGCACTGGTGATTGACAGGATAAAGGAATTCCTCCCTCCAATAGGCATGAGCCCCGCCCTCCGGAGGGGCTTTAAAAGGCAGATGGAGCAGGGCTATCCTCCCTCTCTGCACACTTGAGCCTGGAACCTTGAACTTCAGGATGGCACAGGAAAGTGCAGACCAGGAAGCTCTTGGGCTCTCAGATGAGCTGCCCTCTTCCCCACAAAGGTCTTTTCAAGATGGGGGCACAGATGAAGAGGAGCAACCACCACAAGGACAAGGTGAGACACTGTTTTCTGATTTCCCTGAGAGCTGCCTGCAAAGACAAGGTAGGTCCTTTGGATGTCAGGGTGAGTGCGGAAGGTGGTTTGGAACCTGGCAACTGGTCTGTGTGTGTGACAGAGGGTTTCATTTTGAAGTGGGAAATGGGAAATAGCTGATAGCTCCAGGGGCCTATTGAGAAATGTGGCAGCAATGAACCTATGGAACTCTAATGTGCTCATTTCCCTTTGATCCTGACTTAACTGTCTCAGCCAACAGGATGCCAGAAACTTGAAATCTGAGACAAAACGGGAGCTGGGGGGATAAAATGCATACATGGTATTAGTTTTTCATTCTTATGAAAAATATCTGAGACATGTTACTAAAGCAGGGACGTTTCTTTCAAACCACATTTTGGAAATTCACAAGAAAAGTCGTCATGTCCCTAATAGTTCATGACCCAAATGCTCTGACATTTTATGAGGGTAGAGGAGGATTCAGAAGGAGTATGGAGGAAAACTCACATGACAATCCAATCTGTCAGGGAGCTTGCTGTGCAAGTGATCTCTCCATATTCAGATACCAAGATTCCAACAGCCAGGCTCCTCCTTCCCAACATCACCCAGTCTAAACATTGTCCACATCTCAGGTTATTCCCCACCCTTGATCCATTTCTATTTTCATTAGTTTCCCCCTTAATACATTTTCTTAAAGAGATTTATTCATTTATCCGAAAGAGGCTCACAGAAAGAGAAGGAGAAGCAGAGTTTGAGAGAGATCTTCCATCTGCTGCTTCACTCCCCAATTGGCAGCAACAGCCAGAGACGGACTGGTCTGTAATCAGGAGCCAGGAGCTTCTTCCACATCTCCTTCAACGGTGCAGGGGCTCAAGAACTCAAGCTATATTCTACTGCTTTCCAACCATAGCAGAGAGCTGGATTGGAAGTGGAGCAGCTGGGACTCGAACCAGTATGGTAATGGGATGGCAGCACTGCAGACCATGGGTTTTCCTACTATGCCACAGAGCTGGGCCCATCCCCTTAATACTTGAAGTATTAAGTTCAATTTTGTAGACAAAGAGATTCACAAACAACCTTTGGAGGACACAAATTTTATACACGTGGGGAATTTTTATTTTATTTCGTGGGGAAACTCAGGCATACGTACTCTCTTTTGATGTAGCATCGAAGCCCAGTCCACATGAGGAGAAGTCCCAGGAAAGGAAGCTCAGAGGCAGAAGCAGCGTTGCCAGAGCAGGTAAGTTCAGACTCACCCGGAGCGAGAAGGTCATAGGGTGCTGTGGCACAGTCTTCTCTGGGAGACAGGGGCCCTGAGAGCAGATGGGTCAGCAGCACCTCAGAGATGCTGGGGTACGGGGACCAGAGGGGAAGGGAGCACTGGTGGGAGGCGCTGCTCCCTGTGTCCTGGGTAGACCTGGGCTGTGGCTGTGCATTTGGAGGCAGGCACTCCAACTCCCTGTGTTTTGCAGAATCAGAGTCCAGCTGTGACGGGGTGAGCTCCAGGAAGAGGACAATGAGTTCTGAGGACAGCAGCCACACGGGGACAGGTAGCATCGTGCTTTCTCTGCCTAGAGGGTCAGGACCAGGGAGCTTATCCAAGGTTGGGAAGGGAGGGGTTGTCAGAGATTGAGAGCAGTTTAGAGATCCCAAGAGCGTGTGAGGGGGAGGGTGGGTGCTGCCTGGGTTCCTGCTGGAGTCCATTGTGGGGAAGGAAGTGCAGGATTCGGTGGGGTTCACGTGAAGGGGGCAGGACTTAGGTTTTAGGGCCCAAGGAGCTGTGCTGAATGTCTCCCGTGTGTCTCTGCAGGCAGCTGTGTGCATGAGCTCAGCGTGACTTTGCAAAAGAAAGCAAAACCTTCAGACGACGGAAATGACAGAGGAATTGAGGAGGCGCATGCGGAACCTCGCAGGGGATCCTCCAGGGCCCGCTCTGGGCACAAGAGGAGGCGCAGGTCCAGGTCCCCAGCAGACCACCCACCGCCCCTTCGGAAGAGCCTGGTGACCTCCCTGCGCTCTCTGTCTGAGGCCATTTATGAAGATTTAGCCCGGGTGCAGGCGCAGCAGGCGCAGTTCCCGTTGACCCAGGAGCCGCTGTTTGCTCTTGCACAGCTCCGCGGGCCTCTATGCAGCGCCATGCAGAGCTGCTATGCGCTGGCCTCGCAGGCAGCCTGGGCCTTCCCTGCCCAGGGCTGGCTCCTCCCGGCCAAAGGCCCTTCCTCCGCCCCAGCCCGGGCGCACATGCCTGCTGTCCAGTCGCTGGCACCTGTTCAGAGCTCCTCCCAGGAGGGGGAAGGCCAGCCCTCTGCTGAGCAGGAAGAACCTGAGGCACACAGGGCATCAGACTAATCTTGTGCTGGGGAGCCCGCATGGTGGACACTAGAGGGCGCATCTCTGACACACAGAAAGACTTGCTGCTGCTACTTCTCTGCAAGCCCAGCAGAGACCCTGTAGTCGGGATGAGCTGATGCCTGAGGGAATCTGGGTGGCCATAGGAAAGGAACTGGAGCGACTTCCTCGGAATCAGGAACCTGTTGTGTCCTTGAGGAGGCCATGACAGAAGAATGTCGGTTTTCACATTACCAATCTGAATCCTTGTAACTGAATTGAATTTTTAAATGAAGCACATATTAAGAGGTCATCATTGACACTTGTGCATTTTTGTCAATGTAAAGTTTTCTACCTGGAGAAGTTCAGGGGAGGTGGGAGTAGCAGTGCTCAGGAGGACTCTGAGGGGAGATGACAGGGTGGGGCGGCTTTTCAAAGTGCATTAGAAAGTATGTCCCTTTGTTTTATTTTTATGTTTTCTATTTTTGTGCATATTGGTAGGGGTTAGCCAATTTTAATTCTCTTGGGATGACCAAACTAGCCTTCAACTTGTTTTCTGTATGCTTTTTCTTTACTTGTGATGTGAATTCTTCATTAACATATCAAAGGAGAAAAAAAATCTTTGTAAAATATCTAAAGGAACAACAGAAAACCTTGTGTCAAGCATTCCTTTTTTTTTTGTATGTACTTAGCTGTACTGTAAGTAGTTGTTTAGTATGAGATAGTTAAAAAAGCCAAAGATAGGGGCTAGCAATGTGGTAGAGTGGGCTAAGTGTCTGCCTGTTGTGCCACATTCCCATATAGGTACTAGGTTAGTGTCCCAGATGCCCCTCTTCTAAACCAGCTCTCTGCTATGGCCTGGAAAAGCAGTAGAACATAGCCCAGATGCTTGGGCCTCCTCACCTGCATGGGAGACCTGCAAGAAACTTCTGGCTCTCAGCTACTGCCATTTAGGCCATTTCCTGAGGGACCAGCAGGTGGAACCTTTCTGTTTCTCCCTCTGTCTGTCTATAATTCTATCATCAAATAAATAAATAAAATCCCCTCCACACAAAAGCCAAAGGTTTCCCTTGTTTTGTATATGTAGTTGTCATTGAGTTTTTTTATTTTTCACATTCTTGACATATGTGTGAAACATTTTATCTTAAAATAACTGGAATTTTATTTTGCTGAGTTGTTCTAAAATAAAAGATCAGATGTGTAGACAGGATGTGGGTAGAAGTGGACACTTATGCAGTGTTGCTGGAATATATGTTACTACAGCCATTGCAGAAAATGTTGGAGAGGTTTTACCAAAAATAAAAATTGAGTTTTCCTCAGAATATTATACAAATAATTATCAAATAGATAAAACAATTTTAAATAACAACTATTATAAATGCTACAATCCCTATTCTGGGTACAAATGCAAAGGAAATGAAATCCCTGTGTAGAGAGAGATGTCACCCCATGTTTAGTACAGCAATGCTCACTAGTAGTGCCAATGTATGGAAACAGTTTAAGTACCTATCGGCAGACAGATGAGTATGTGCTATCCATATGAAGTATTATATTTCTATATTAAATGTGTGCATGAGGATACTTCATAAGCTTTATGGAAAAGTAAGATTCACACAAATGAATTTCATATATAGATTTTCATTTCTTTATTTAAATAAATTGATTTCTTGTCACATAGTGATGGAGAGAATGAAAGAAGAGAGAGAGAGAGAGAAAAAATTTCATCTGCTGCTTCCCTTCCAAAATGGTCGAATTGCTGGGGTGTGTCAAGGCAGAAATCAGGAGCCTGAAATTCCATCCAGAGGTGTTAGAGTCGACCGCCCGAAAAACGTCACCTAGGGACACGTCTCTTATGCAACCAGCAAGGGGATGCTTTATTCATTATCCAGCATGCTGGGGCTGTCTGATCATACAAGAGCAGAGCAGCCTCGAGGAACTAAAGTATAGGGTTTATAAAGACAAAAACCACAAAATCGGGAGGGAGGAGAGAATACACGGTTGCTAAGCGGTTGCTAATATCTTACAATCAGCAATTATGATCTTAAGACATAGACAGATCACATTTTTATTAGCTCAGATAACCCAGGTGTAACCTTTTTATTTTTAAAAATGAGCAATCATGCTAGGGGGTTTTTGTGCGTTGCCAAGGGTGATGTAGTGCACTGCCATTGTCCAACTATTTGAGATCATAGTTTCAGACCAGAGTCTCATGGTGTGGGGGTTGCTTTCCCAGAATGCAGTCACAAGTGCTCCAAAATGGAGTCCCTACTGTCAAGGTAATACTTTACTCTATCTTATTTTCACAGCTGCACTAGGAAGGTTTAAACCTGTAAGCTTAAGCTTAACTTTTTACACCTGCACATATACAATTTTAACTCTTCATTCCCCACTCCTTGTTGTGAGGATCTCTAATCTTAGAGATTATTCATTTTTGTCTCTGTTAATGTGACATATTGTTGTCTTATGAGTTTAACATTTTTAACTTGTTCCCGCACGAAGGTGATGAGTCTATTTAACACACAAGGTCCTATGGTTACAATTAGGAGTAGGACAATTAAGGGTCCTGCTAGGGCTGACAGTAGGGTAGTAAGCCATGGGGACCAGCTGAACCATGACTCAAACCATCCCAGTTGAGTTTCCCTCTCCCGTTGCCATTTTTCCAGTGTTTTTTTGAGTTTGGCCATGGAGTTTCTAACCACACCAGTTTAGTCGGCATAAAAACAACAATTTTTTCTTTAGGGCTGCACATAACCCCCCCCCACCATGAAAATGAGATTCAACCCCCACCTGTTCTGTAATACTGAAATTCAGATACTGGGCTGCATCTGGGAGATTGTGGAAGATTTGTTAGGCAGAAGGGCAGGGATCTCCACCTGGCAGGTTATCAGGTAGAAGGGGGCAGGGCAGGATGCAAAGGCCAGGCTGCCCATGAAACATTGTCAGGATGACTGAGATGTAGATGCATATGCTGGACACATTGGGCATTTATGTCACACACACATAAGCTCATAAGTGACTTTCTGCCTAATATTTTCCCCTCAAGAGGTAATACCCAAAATTTTTCTTTGGGATTGTGGATGGATTTCCGTTTTCTGTAACTTCTTCGAAGCTGGCATGTGGGTGTCGAGGGGGATTTGGGTGTTTCCTCTTGCTACCTGTCTTATGGTGTGCAACAGTGGCCTTGGAAAGACTGTGTTGCTCGGTCCAGAGGGCTGCTCAGGTCATCCAGTGGAATGGGCTGGAAGTCTTGCCTGATGACCATTTGGAATTCAACAGCTTTTAGTCTGTTAGAGACAAAATGAACAAGGGCATTAAAAACACACAGTGCAAAGAGAAGCATCAAGATTGCAGAAGTTAGTGGGCCAAGAAGAGGAGATAGCCAGGATTTTTATGATCAGATGTTAGGCCAGAAACCCCAGCCCTGCTTGGCCTGGTCCTGGAGCTGCTTGGCTTTTTCCAGGAAAAGTACAAATTTGGGTTTGTGCCTGTCCAGTCTGATTGACCCAGAGACAGTTTTTTTCCAGATATTTAGTAGCCAGTTTTGCTAGGAAGTTAAGCCAATGTACAAGACTAGAGTCTCAAGCTGGGAAAGAAGACAGACTAATGAATTATTTACATTTAACTATTTATATTATGGATTATTGTGCACCCCCCTCAAGAGATAGGCCCTTTAAGTCCCCAGTGAGGACCTGTTCAAATAGGTGTAGGGCTATCTGAGTTAGCTGTTACTGAAAGCCCTGTTTTTAGGAACTGGCAGGGAGGGCTTTTTAAGCTTAATGTTATTGGATAGACTTTTAAGGCCTTGCTGGGTGTGTGAGGCCCAGACCTATCCATGGGGTGCTGGAAGAGAATTGAAAGAGATGCAAATCTCCTTTAAGGGAGGCACCCTGTTGACTTGCATTACATGGCTGGACTAGGAGGAGAGCTGAATAGGAGGCTCATAGAAATAGGCAACTTGCATGTCGCTGACCCTAGGCCATTCCCTCAATAGCGGCAGCTGGAGCTGGAGGCTGGGCAGAGGCCGGGCAGAGCCAAAGACTTTTTAGCTCAGGGCCACAGGGTCTGCGGTTCTGAACCAGGAGTCCTTCGACACCCAGGGCAGTTCCGTGTCCAGTGACTGTGCTCTTGGCAGAGCTGACAGAAGGCAGTTGCTGTCACGACAGCTGCTTGCCCAATGCCCTGGCTCCTCATATCAGCAAGTTTGGGGTGCACTGGCCTTGCTGGGTCTCCTTGATGGCAGATCACCATGTAAAGCAGCCATGGATTGGCCTGTTGCCCATCTTCTGCTTCTTGCTTGCTCCTCATTCTCCTGGTCTCTAATAAAGTAGACCAAATAGGCAGCCTCTATGATGTCAGTCAAGGGGGTGCTCAACCCAACCCTGATTTTTGGAGATTTTTTTAATATCAGGGTGAGCTAGAAAAACTATGGTCATGGGCATTTTGACACTTAGTATTTTCCTGCAAGTTAAGACCATGCCCATGAGGAGAACTATGACCCTTTAGGTAAGATCAACTGTGGTGACCTGCTTGCATACTTTGAGGTCATTAGTGTAACTTTTTACACCAAAAAATTGATCTAGTTGTCACATTATTTTATAGTTTAACCTTTTTTTTTTGTTATGTTGTTTGGGGCCCTATACTGTGGCCAGGCATTATTACAGAAAAGGTCAGTCATCCCTTACATAAGGTCTGGGGATCAAACCGTACATCACAGTGCAGAGTCCTGCAGAACAATAGTAACTTCCCTTCTGGAAGAGAAAACAGGAGAAGTGAAGCAGTGAGTTGGGTCTCTAGCCTGACTTTCTGGGCTTTTAGATTTAACTGGCAGTTTAACCAGTGTTTACTGTATAGCCTGACTTAGAGGAGAAATTGTGGCAGAGGTCTCTGCCATCCTTTGGCTTCTGGGTATTTACCGTGTAGCCTGTGGACACTAGAGCTTTTTGGTTTTCTGGAACCCAGTTTTCTAGCATCTGCCGCATAACCATAACTTAACAGAGACAGTAGAGTACACAATGGATTAA